CCCCCCCCTCTCCCTTCTCTCCATCCCCACTCGTCTCCTCTCCAACAACTCAGTATGTATTCCCTGCTAGTTACATATGGCTTGGTCAATAACGCTAATGAACTTGTAAAACTTTTGACGCGCACCGCAAATCATACTCTGTAAACGGTCATGGTAATAAAAACAAGGATAATATTTGCAAAGAGGCGCACGGTAAAAAAAAATCAGTGAAGAGTCGATCTTGAAAGCAGTTAGTTGGGTCACTAACTCTTTACGAGTATTATCCCTGTTTTTCTTAGCATGGTCGTTTACATGATATGCGTCAAAAGTTTTACACGTACAAGCGTTCATTGACCAAGCCAAGCCGCCGCTTTCTGCGAAAATCGAAAGTTTGTACAGTTGATTAGTTTACAGAGACTGGGGTACAAAGGGTGTCTTGCTGGCACTTGCAGGTGTTTGCAGGTGCTGTTGCAGGTGACCACCACACCTTCAAGCGAGCGTTGTTCGCACAACTACTAACTCCCCCCTCCCTCTCCCCCCTCCACCACCGGAGACAATCTCGTGAAGTTGAGCCGGGGGCGGGGGCACGGGGGTTGCTCGCCCTTCACATGTCTTTTACAGTCTACCTCGACGCACTCCCCACAAGTTGCCGTCGCTCTTGGTCCACACTCTCAAAAGCTGCCGTGCTATTAAATGTTATGTGTCTTCTAAGCTACAGGAATATACTAAACAACGACTAGAAGACTATAGGAAATATTGAAAATATACATGGTAAGACTACAAAAACATTAGAAAGAATTATAAGCTAATCAGAAACGACAACGGTGTTTCAGACTGAAAAGTTACTACAAGTGCGACGAAAATTTGCTCAAGTTTAGTTGCGAATGATAAATATTATGAATTTCTGCAAACGTGAGATATTCTAGCAAGGGTTTCGGAAGAATTTTCGGTGAAATATGTTGTAAGATTACATACAATTTTCAAATTCATGAGCACTTAATGTATCGATTTGGAATACATGGACGAGCAAGGAATGAGCTGGCGTATTCTGAAAATTTACGAAGATTTTTTTTTTACGTTGATAATTCGCGCTTACCGAGTACTGGCAGAGCGTGTGTGGCAGGCCGCTCCTGCAGGCGATCGAGCAGTACGGGTTCTTGGTGTTCTTCGTGGCGCCCGCCTTGAAGGCGAGCTGCTGCGCGGGCTCCGGCTCGGGTCTCACGACGGGGCTGAGGGCGGCGGCCACCAGCGCGGCGGCGACCACCAGACTCACTCCCCGGGCACCTGCAACAACAAGTAACGCAAAAAGATAAGTAAAAAAACAACAACAAAAAACACACTTTTAGAAAACAAACGTGAGTTCACGTTACTCAAACGTGACTTTCGTGCCACCAGAAAGCTTGCAGCAAATGAGGTATATACTGATTTCACGGTAAAAACGGTCCCTGGGATTCCCGGGAGTTTTCAGAAGAGTTGGAAGGGCCCTGGAAATGTATAATTTTCCTAGAGGATGTCTTAAGTTTTCCAGTAGATCTGGAAGTATTTCTAGTTTCCAGTGCATCCACTGGGGTTCCAACTGTCCTGGAAACCCATGGGACTCGTTTCTACCGTGTAACGGTGTTGTCTCGGGTGTAATTCAGAGTATAAAAGCTTCGTTTTTTTGTTGTTTTTTTTTTTTGATAAAAAGAAACTTTACGAACGGCGTTCTGCCAAGCAAACTTAGACCGGCGCGGGCGCGTGGGGTCCAGAAACAATGAGAGCCAGCCGATCAACGATTGCACGCGATATGATTTTCGCAATGAAAAGACCAATTTTTCGCAGACAAACTCGCGAAACCGAACTTTTCACTTGGGGAAGAAAGGTACCGATTGGCTTTGCCGGGGTTATGGCATTATACGGGGGCGCGGCTGATGATCGTCGGCGATGGAAACTATTCTAATTATCCTGAAGGCTGCCGTCTTCCTCCCAGTCAGCCCCAAAGTCGCCTCCAGTCTTAGCCAGACGCGCGGCGGCGCTCATCGGCGGCGCCGTGATCTGATTGCCCGTCCCGCTGCACCCAGCCCCGCCCCGCCCCGCCCCGCTCGCCAGCCCAACAAAGTTGAGAGCCAACATCAGGCGCGTCGCAAACCCTTCCCTTCCACACCCCTCCTCCCCCCTCGCCCCCGCCACCGGCGGCCCGTGCCACCCCCGATCCACCAGCGCTGCGCTTACGGTCTATTTGAGCCTCATGAGCTGCGTGATTGGCTCTAATCCAGTTCACACACCCCGCCCGGTCCCGCCCCGCCCCACCCCGCCTCGCCCATCCTCTTCTCACCTGTATATCTGCAGCCGTCTGGCTGAGCACGACCCCCCCCCCTCCACCAGGGCAGTGAGCGGCGCTGCGCGCTAAGCGTAAAGGCTAATCCGATGGAGTTGTTATAATCTGATATGCTATATACGGATCCGAGGGATCCGAGAGGAAAGTTTTTGGCGCGAAGCGCGACGGCATTTGAAATAAAAAGAAGAAAGGGGCGTCTATCTCATCACACAGCCGCCATATACCTGGGGTGCATCCAGCGGCGGCATCACAGACGCAGTATGAAAGGGGATGATGAAAAATTAAAAACAAAAATGTAAGATGGAAAAGAAATCGCGACCCGCGCGTCGTCGTCGTTTCCATCATTGACGGTGAGAAGAAAAAAGAAAAGAAAAAGATGCTTATCAGGCATTTATTAAACGGCTTTCCGAGTTAATGAATGGCAGCATCATGTGATGGAGAAGGTGCGGACCCATGGATTGGTTCGTGCAGCCGGGTGACCCCGGCAGTCCCGCCTGAACGCTGTGAAAATTATCGTCGTAAATTCACAAAACTTTTGTACATTCGAATTATGATTTAGGTTGTAAATTTACGAGAGCACATTATTCACTCGCCAATTCCTTTTTAAGTCAATACCCACTGCATGAATTTTTACGAGTACAAATTGTAATTTTTCAACTTGCGTCAAGGAAAATTTTGTTGTATAGACCTTACTACTATTTTTCACAGTGAAAGGTGGGTTGGTATACTGTAAAAACTACATCCACAGCATGAACAACAGTGTAAAACTGTTAATTACTCCGAAAAAATTGTTCGATTGAACTAATGGTCATTCCCTTATTCCAACGGAAATTTCCGTTCATATAACATGATAGAAGTTTTTCGTTGCTTTGAAGGAGCTTTCTTTGTTTTTAAGAATGATTCTCAACCCTCTAGGTGGTGTGAATTTTGCTTGGTGCCTTCATGTGTACGAATGGTGTTCACACAATTAGAGGTGTGCCACTTTCGCACACTTGGGTTTTTCGTGTAGGGTTATTGAGCCCAACAATTTACCAGTTTAAAACCCGTTATTCCAATATTACAATTTAAATAAGCAGCGTTGCTCTGAATGCTGTAGATTTACGAATTCTTTGACAGGGTGTGCGGCCACCCTTCGACGCAGTCAGACTGTTAGCGCCGCAGTGACGTCTGCACAGTGCCAACGAGAGTATCAACCCCGCCTGCCGGCCACTATCTAGAGTGGAAAGGGGTGGGGG